ATAAAGCAAGTGATGTTATTATCAACAGTTTACAGATTGAAAACTGGGGCTTATTGGCGAGGCCAAGTGAAGCTCAAAGTCATGGGTACACGGGGAAGAGTAAAAGTTTGAAACCCCAGACGATGCAATTGCTCTGGGGTAAGGCCCCATATCCATATACCTCACAACCCCTGACTGATAAGAGTACGGGAACTTCAGGCCAGAAATGATAACTGGGACTCCTGCGGAGTTTACAGCCTATTTCTACAGAAGTCCACGTGTGAGGCTGAACCCTAATGCTTGGCTGTGATTGCAAATACCTTGTTGCTGTTGTTAGGTACCGTGGAGTCGGCTCAGACTCATAGCAACCCTATGTATAACAGAATGAAACATTTCCCGGTACAAGGCCATCCTCACAGGCCTTGCTATGCTTGAGCCCATCATTGCAGCCAGTGTGTCAGTCTCTCTAGTTGAGGGCCTTCCCTTTCTTTGCTGACCCTCTACTTTGTTGTTGTTGATGCTTTGTGCCGTGGAGTCGCCCGACTCATAGCGACCCCTCCTTGGGTTTCCAAGGCAGTATCACTAGAGAAGTAGATTGCCCAACCTTCCTTTCCAGGAGTGGCTGGTGGGTTTGAACGGCAAGCCTTCTTCTGGTTAGCAGTCAAGTGCCTTAGGCACTATGCCACCAGAGCTCCTACCCTCTACTTTACCAAGCATGATATCTTTCTCTAGAGACTGGTCCCTACTGACAACATGACCAAAGTAGGTGTGACAAGGTCCGGCCAGTCTCACTTCCAAGGAGCATTCTGACTGCACTTGTTTCAGGACAGGTTTATTCATTCTTCTGACAGTCCGTGTGTGGTAGTTAAATTTGTATGTCAACTTGTATGTCAACTTGGCTGGGCCTAGTTGAGTGGCTGGGTAGCTGGTGGTAGTTATTTCCCATGATGAGACTGGCAATCAACTCCATGGTGGGATCTACCACAAGAGGCTGAGCAGCTGCCTGTGGGATGTGGTCTGCTTCCTGTGTATAAGGAGAAGCTTTGGGAATGGTCTCTAGCCCATGGCACGCTTGGACCCTGCATGTAGCCGTGTCATTGCTCAACAGCGTGCTATGCTCTGCCGACCTTGGGACTTACAGCGGACTTAACTTAATGGCCTGCTGTATGGTTTAGTAACATCGGGACTGTGCCTTTTTACTTGTCAACCTTGGGGCTTCTCAGCCTCAGCAGCCAGCAGCTGTCTGAGTGAAGAAATGCCCCTAGTCCAGTGGGCCGGGAGCAGGAGGCAAAGCTGGACCCCAGGGTTGAGGGGCTCTTACCCAGCCCCTACAGCCTGGCACTTTGAACTTGGACTTAAAGCCTCCAGATTGTAAGAATAAACTCCTGTTTATTAAGGCCATTCCATTTGTGGTATATTCTTGTCAGAGCGGCACTAGGGAACCAGAACACTGTGCTATTTTTTAGTATTCTCCAACATCACAATTCAAAGACATCAACTTTTCTTCCATCTTCCTTATTCATTAAATCTCACCTTAATCTTCAAAGTGACATCTTTGGTCTTTTGCAACAGGTTTTCCCAATGCAATCCAACGTCTGATTTCCTGACTGCTGCTTCTGTGGGTGTTGACTGTGGAGCCAAGTAAAATTAAATCCCTGAAAACTTCCATCTTTTCTCTTTATCATGG